ACTTTTTATCCAACAATTCCCCCAACTGAGATTTCAACTCTGCCAATTCTGACGCCGACATTCTGTATGGTACCATAGATATAGGTCTAGTACCAGGGACAAGATCAATCGTAAACCCTACTTCCCTCTCTGGAGGTAGCTCTGCAACATCCTTTGGGAACACTTCAGGAAATTCTCTCACCACAGGTAATTCCTCAATCGACGACTTACCCTCCATATATAACGAAGCGAACACTGCAAACACTTTAGCTTCGTCTTCTACCAAGATTCTCAACTCCTTAGTAGATATAAGACTATCCATTTCTTCTTCCTCAGGCGTCAGAAATAACAACCTCTTCCTATAACAATCAATATAAACATAGTTGCTCTCAAGCCAATTCATCCCTAAAATAACATCCAGCTCGCTGAGTGGTAGACAAATCAAGTCCATTCCAAAATCTTTACCAAAGATCGACATAGGACAACTCAAACACACTAAAGATGTAGTGATTGATCCAATAGATGGAGTATCAATCACCATCCCTTTACTCAAAGTAGACAGCACAAGCCCCTGTCTCCTCACACAATCCACAGAAATAAACGAGTGAGTTGCACCCGTATCAATAATAGCAATCAAAGGAGTGTTATGAATGTAACACATACCTCTGACCAAACGATCCTCACTGGTAGGCTAAGCTCCCACCAATGCAAACACATTCCCACCTGTCTGAGACTTCTTCGGTTTCTTACAGTGGGTACCGATATGACCTTGCTCACCACAGTTGTAACAGGTTGGTATGTTGGATCTACAATCCGCGACCACATGACCTGGCTTTCCACACTTAAAACACTTCTTCACCTCATTCTGACATTCATTTGCACGGTGACCTGCGCCACCACATCTGAAACACTTGAGAGGAGTGGAAAGATTTCCTCCCCCACTTTGTTTCTTCCCAACAACATCTTTCTGCTTTCCTTTATCAGCCGGAGCATGGCATGGTGTATTCTCGTGTCTCCGCTTACCCCTTCTGTCACTTAGGTTCTTATAGTGATCGATTCTAGCTCTGTTGTCTTCATCATAGATTCTACACATGTTCACCGGCTCAGGAAAGTATCTGATCTTCTGATAACCGACACCCAGTTTGATCTCGGGACGCAGTCCGTTCTCAAACTTAATGCACTTCGAACTCATAGTTGCATCAGTATTGTAATGAGGGCAATATTTCACCAGTTCTTCGAACTTCACCGCATACTCTACCACTATCATATTCCCCTGCTTCAACTCAATAAATTCAATTTCTTTCTTTCCGCGAACATCTTCTGGAAAATACTGTTCCAGAAACTCTGCTTTAAACACTGCCCAACTAATGAGACCCTCACCAGCTTCCAATCTCTGACGGGTGTTGTCCCACCAGTCCTCAGCCTCACTTTCCAGCATATGGGTACCAAACTATACCTTCTGATCCTCTGAGCATCCCATGACTCTAAAGATTTTCTCAATATCCTTCAGCCATTTCTGTGCTGCATCTAGATCATGTCCGCCCTCGAACTTAGGTGGCTTGTTATTCTAGAACTTCTCCAAATTACGGAACTCTTCGTTCCCAGCATTCCGATTGATATTCTAACCAATGTTCTTCACTGCCTATGCAACAACTTGTAACGCAGCAGCCATCCCGGCATCATTCCTACCAGCCATACTGCTTAACATCCACGAAAACACAGGTTAGAAAGACACATGACTATAAACATCTTATAGTCAGACTCTACTACAACACTAGCCGGACTGACCGACCTGCTCTGATACCAATTGTAACACCCACTTTCCCCGTACGCGTATTATAGGAATATTATAGAAAATACATCAGAGTTCTAATATCAATAGGATGTCACACTAAGTCACTTCAGTTTTCATAAATAAACCAACGTTATCTAACTTTCAATTAAACAACGGAATAAAATCAATGTTCAAATATAATCTCCACAACCGGTGGTTACACACTATTAATCCAACAATTTAAAAGATATGTAACAATAAATCAAGAAAATAAGTCAATTAAACGTAATCCCGTCATCCCATGTTACGTATCAGAGCGACTCCTAAGACTCGGTCGAATAGCAACACACTCCAAGCACTACTCAGGTACCTGGTCATCTGCACTCCCCAAGAAGCACAGACACAACAAACATAAAAGGGGTGAGAACTACATTCAATAAATAAGCGGTGAAATACACATGCTAAGGAGTAGTTACACACCACACATACAATCATACACATATAACGCACATACACGTGCCACATCAATTACTCGGCATCAATAGCCCATATTCAATTACAATTATGCAATGTGACTCACTGACTCGACACAATGCATGTGGTACCAACACAATCACATACGGTTCACCCTATAACCCGATTCCCGTCGAAATCCGAATAAGTCGTATACGTTCCTCTGAACTACAACTTATCTCCACAACGACTTCCACATGAAGTCCGGATGAAACTAGGCACCCATCATGGATTCCCACCTAGACATCTCCACAAGACACATGACATAAAATGCATGACGACACAATTATGCAATTATAATAATTCAAGCATAATCCACGATCATTAAAGACCCACATGAGCCAGCCGTTCACCGTAATCCTCTCGGGAATTACCACAATCACACAAGATCATCCATATTCGATAATCATGGCTCACATTCATCATAACACACCCATAAGGGCACACCCATATCATTCCATATTTTATCGATTTAATTCATTACTAATATTTCTTAAGCTCATTTTAGTCCTACTGATCCTACCGCTTAAACGGAATTGCGTTCCAAGCGAAATCTGGACGAAAATCACAAAAATTGGGGAAAACTGAAAAGTCATCCCAGACTGTCCATATGCGTATTGCCTGTTGTCATACGCGTAGGGCCCTCCCTTACGCGTAAGACCAGCGGCTTCTACCTCCCAAACCCCATCAGAGTCACCCCTTACGCATATGACTACCTCCATACGCGTTTTGTCCAGGCTCATACACGTATCACCATATGGTTGTGCTGGCACTAGGGACAGGGCGCGTCTACTACGCGTACAGCCCTTGGGAAGTCCCTCATACGTGTATTGACACCCCCAATACGCGTATGACCAGCAGATCTGTCAAAAAACTCAGATCTCAACATTCTCATGAGTTCCTACTCAAGATTCATCATTCTACCTTCCCATTCATCCTAAAACTCAGATTTTAATCGATTTCAATGAATCCTATCTTCTACCTGTCAAGATTCTAATTATTAGATCTAGTTTCGATTATAGTTAAACCCTTAGTTTCAAATATGTTAAACCACATCATTCCAACACAGATTCAGGGAATTTTTGCACGAATTTTCATATTCATACCAGAATCATACATACAACATCATGAAATGATCATTCAACAAAACAACAATCACAGAGAAATCATAATATCACGAAATAAAAAAGAAGGCAAGAACGGGCAAAATTCCTACGAGAGAAAGGACCTCTCACTACCCTCTCATGTTAAATCACCCATATTGAAATCCATTCTCCCTCCTTGCCTTGGACTTGAGCTATTTCTTGACAACAGTGGAGAATTTTTCTCTCTTTGCCCTAGCTCTCATTTCTCTGCATTTTTCCTCTTTTACGTGTTAACGGTCTAAACCCACTAATCCTCTCTAAACCCTCTTAATCATATTTTATTTTATTTAATTTAGTTACTATTAATTCCAATAATAATAATACTACTACTAATAATAATAACCTCGTTAATAGTAATATTAATAATAATTAAAATAATAATATTAACAATTATGATGCTCTTAGTCTTATTATTAAATTATCCATTATTTTAAATTCATCTTATCCTCAACTAAGGTCAGTCTTATTATTAAATTATCCATTATTTTAAATTCATCTTATCCTCAACTAAGGTCAGGTCTCCTTCTCGCTCTTACCCTCATATCCTTATCAAAGACATCACAACTAATACAACCAATACACATCTCCAAAAAAATACAAGAGCGACTAAATAGTTTAAATGGACTAAATAACCAATACACATCTCAGAAAAATACAAGAGCGACTAAATAGTTTAAATGGGGTTGTTACAACTCTCACTTAACTTTTCACAATAAAAGTTATCATAGAGATGGAAAACTTTTCATTATACAATGTTAAAGAAACAGAAAAACAAAATACTCCTAAAAATGAAATAAAAGTGTAAATTTTTACTCCTTTCATAGAGACTTCTGCAGCACTCGTGAGAAAAATTTTAATTCTAACAATAAATGTTTGTGTTAAGTTTCTTTTTAAAATTGAATTCGTAACATTAAATGTTTGTGTTAAGTAAAACTTAACAAGATTTGTAAAAAAATTTAGATAGCTTAGTAATACTGTATAGGAAGAGTTGAGTTTATGATATTTTATTGAAAGAATTACTTAATTAAAAAATAAATCAATTCAGTTCAAATTTTTTTAAACTGACATTAAAATACATTATTTTCCCATTCTTCCTTCAATTCAAAACCATGATAGTGGGAAACAAACAAAATACAACTTTGCAGAATACTGTCAATCAGACATATACAAAACATTTCAAAATAACATTGGATAGAAATAAACCTTTCATAATGCTATTCAAAATACATTCCAAATAGAGGTTCAAAACACTCTATACATGATTGATGACAGCATCAAAAAATGAACCAGAAAAAAAAAACTATACCCTTTAGTTAGAATTGTTATATGCCTCCAATGTCAAGGAAATCAAGCCCTCGGGCGATAAGCAATTTCATCTCAGCAATTTCAACATTTTTCAATCTCTCTTCCAACACACAGTCAACACAGTCAGTTCCATTTCCATTCCTTTTTCATAGCAGTCATGTTCAACCCATACGAACTCATTTCAACATAATAGATCAATGACAGCATCAAAAAATGAACCAGTTACTTTAGACTAACCAGAAAACCAAGGTCTCAAAACCCTGCAAAAAAAAAAGCTATACCCTTTAGTTAGAATTGTTATATGCCTCCAATATCAAGGAAGCTTGATCTCTAACTAACTCCGCTCGGGCGATGAGCAATTTCATCTCAGCAATTTCAACATTTTTCAATCTCTCTTCCAACACAGCCTTGTTTGATTCTCCAATCAGTTCCATTCCCTTTTTCATAGCAGGCATGTTCAACCCATACGACCTCATTTCATCACCAAACCTAACCATTTCAATAAAAGCCAAACTCTTTTCAAGATCTGAAGTAGAACCCTCCTTTTTCACTTTAAAGTCAATCTTCTGGAAAAGTTCAAAAGCATCCTTATCATGCTGTTTGGTGAAATCTTCATTGCTTTCATACTTGTTCTTCAGACTGCGAATCTTCCGCCTCAGTTGCTCCTTGTTGGAGTCAGCTTGAATAGATTCTTTCACAAAACTGTAAAATGCTCGTGTGTGCTTCACTGGATCTTTTCCGGTTTTGGAAATGAAATCAGCAAGACCTTTCAGAATGGCGAGTTCGTCTTCTTCGCTGAAGAGTCTATGAGATGGTGACTTCTTTAAGTCTTTTTCCTCTTCCTTCTCGTCATCATCGGAACCATTACCAGCGATTGCTTTCTTCTTGGAACGCTTAGAGTCACTTTCAGTGTTGGTGTTCTCCATTGCACGCTTGGTTCCAGATTTGGTAGGAGGTGGAGTCGGTTCCGGTTTCGGTTTGGAATCAGATTCTGATTCAGAAGAAGCGGGTTTAGGGTTTGAAGTTAGAGCAGGTGGTGGAGGTTTTATAGAAGCATGAACTTCCTCTGTTTCTTCCTCGGAACAAGAATCATCGTCAGATGAATCTTCCTCTTCTTCTGGCTTTTGACAAGAAGCGTTCCGAACATGAACTTCATATGTTTCTTCCTCGGAAGAGGAGTCATCGTCAGATGAATCTTCTTCTTTTGGCTTTTGAGAAGAAGCGTTCCGAGCATGAACTTCCTCTGTTTCTTCTTCGGAAGAAGAATCATCGTCAGATGAATCTTGCTCTTCCTCTGGCTTTTGAGAAGAAGCGTTCCGATCATTCTCTTCAGAGGAGGAGGAAGAGGAGGAGGGTGGTTCGACGAGAGGAGAAGGACGGTGTTTCGTGGTTGCCATGGAAATTTGGGATTAGGGATAGGGTTTTTGAGAGTGTTGATAGTGTAAATGTAATAAATCAATTCACACTGAAACTAAATATATAGACAAGTTTTTTTATTTATTTTTTAATTGTCTTTATTCTTTTAATATTCTTTCATTTTAAAAGCTGAAGAAATTGATTATAGAAGGTGAGAGAAGTCTATAGAAGATGAAACAGCAATTCATAAAAAGAAGAAGAAAAAAAAAAGACGAATTTTTTTTATTAAATAACAATAGTATCTTGTTTAGGTCCGTTACGGGTCAATGTCTATTTTACTAATAATAATTGTATCATATTATATATAATTATTTTTATTTTAATAATGATATTATTATTTTAATTTTTTTTAATTACTTAAATTAAATTTCATCCGGTGATACTTAATTTTTTTTTTAATTACATTTTTTAAATCACTTAAATTGAATTAAATTTTTAAATATTACCTAAATTAAAATTATTATAAATTAAATTAAATTAGGTGGTTACTAAGAATTAAAGTACCATAAAGCATCACTATAATTGTCGTAAAAGTTATCGGTAATTAAAATTATCTTTAATGTAATTAACCTTTTTACAAATAATAATTCACTAATTTATTAATATAATAATTTATCATCAAATATTGCATTCTTCCACTTACCCCCATGGCTTCAACGGGACAACGACGAGGCCATGGGGTACGTGGAACTCAAGGTTACATTCGGGGAAAAGGAAATAGCTAGGAAAATCAACGTCCGTTTTCTGGTCGTCGAATGCCCGTCTCTGTACAATTGCATTCTGGGCAGGACAACGATGGTCGAACTTACCGCGGTACCGTCGACCGTCCACCTAAAGATGAAATACAACACTAGGCTGGGAGCCGTTGTCACCCTCAACGGGGATATCGAAGCTGCTCGTCGATGCTTTGACGAAGCGATGAAGTGCCTTAGTACAATCGGTCCCACAACTAAAGCAACTAAGCCACCTCCCGTTCGGGAAGTCAAACCGAAGGATCACGTCGACGTCGTGGACCTTGATTGCCGTCTCACCGAATTGCCTAACCACGAGGACAAAGCCAGCGAAATCAACGGGCAGCATTTCCACCCAACACGCCCCATTCCAGACGGGGCAGACGCAACGAGGACCGTGAAGATTGGGGCAGGGTTGCCCGACTTGGCGAGGAAGCAACTGAAGGCCTGCCTCCGTGAGAATGCTGATATCTTTGCTTGGACCGTCGCAGAGATGCCCGGACTCGACCCTGAGGTCGCCTGCCACCAGCTCTCCGTCAACCCGTCCGCTAGGGCCGTAGTACAACGTAGGCGTAGGCAGTCCTCCGAAAAGTCGGCGGCGTCTGAAAAAGCTGTAAAAGACCTCCTAGAGGAGAATTTTATTTCGGAAGCCCGGTATTCAACCTGGCTGTCCAATGTTGTACTTGTTAAGAAAAATAATGGAAAATGAAGGATGTGCGTTGACTACACAGATCTCAACCGGCCATGTCCTAAGGACGCATACCCCCTCCCCAACATAGACAAGCTCGTTGATAACTCGGTGGGTTTCAAACTATTGTCCTTCATGGACGCGTACTCGGGGTACAACCAGATACCCATGGCTGAGGCCGACAAATAGAACACGGCTTTCATGACCGAGTCGGCCAATTACTACTACAACGTAATGCCTTTCGGCCTAAAAAATGTCGGCGCCACCTACCAGCGGATGATGAACAAAGTGTTCCGAGGGGAGATTGGCGATATGCTCGAGGTCTACATGGATGACATGATCGTCAAGTCCTGCACGGAAGTCGACCACACGACACACCTCGGGAAAGTATTCGAGACAACGAGGAAATACAAGATGCGTTTCAATCAGGAAAAGTGCACCTTCAGGGTGCGCGCGGGGAAGTTCCTCGGATTCTATCTGACCGAGCGTGGGATCGAGGCAAACCCAGACAAGTGTCGGGCCTTCTCCGAGATCGCGACGCCGAGCTCGAAGAAATCGATACAGACCCTCAACAGGATGCTCGCATCACTTTCCCGCTTCGACGCCAAATCCGCGCAGCACGCCCTTACTTTCTTCAAATTGCTGAGAAAGGAAACCGCTTTCGAGTGGACAGAGGAATACGAGCAAGCCCTCCTCCACCTCAAACGCATCACGTCGGAGCCGTCCGTGTTGACGAGGCCGGGGAAACCTTGTACCTGTACCTGGTCGTGGCGAACGAAGCCTTCAGTGTCGTACTGATCTGAGAGACCCCCGAGAGGCAGAAACTGATCTACATCACAAGCAAAGCCCTCCACGGCCCCGAAGTGAGATACCAACAGATCGAGAAAGTCACCTTAGCCCTCGTCACCGTAGCCAGACGACTTTGACACTATTTCCTGGCCCACACCATCGTAGTCAGAACCAAACAGCCTATTAAACAGCTGCTCGGCCGACCCGACATGGCAGGGCGCATGTTGAAATGGTCGTTGGAGCTTTCCGAGTTTGACGTCATCTACAAAGGTAGAAAAGCCCTCAAGGCCCAAGTCTTGGCCGACTTCGTCGCCGAGATGACCCCCGCACCAGAATCTACCCCAGGGATGCAGAAATGGACCATCTTCGTAGATGGTGCCTCAAGCTCCTCAAGAAGTGGCGCAGGCATCATCCTCGAACACGAGGAAGGCACTGTCGTGGAAGTCTCCCTCACACTGGCCTTCACGACGACGAATAACCAGGCAGAATACAAAGCCTTCATGACCGACCTCCGCCTAGCAGAAGACCTCGGGGCCAAGGAGATAAAAATCTTCACGGACTCCCAGTTGGTCGCCTCACAAGTACGAGGCGAATACCAGGCGAAAAGCGATAACCTGGCCGAGTACTTAGCCCTCATAAAGGAACGGATGAAGAATTTTGACTCCACTGTGTCGCTTTCGCGAAAATAAGGTGCCGGCACAACAGAAGAGTCGCCACCTTTCGTTATTTATCCCTCGGAGCGGGAAAGGAAACGATCGGAAAAAACCTTACGAAAAAGGGTAAGACAAGGTCGTCGCAACCATTGTCTGGGTTCGGGAGTCGGTTACGCAAGGGGAAGGTATTAGCACCCCTCACGTTCGTCGTACTCAACGGGATCCACGCTTGTTGTATTTACTTGGACGGGTTGGTTATCTATCTACCTATCAAGGCTGGCTTAAAAAGAAAAGAAACTGACTCGGCAAAATGTCGTGCTTTATGCCTACGTATTCTCATCAGAGAATGAGAAATCAGAGTCAACGTAATTCGACCTACGACGGGTTATGGGGGAAGGTAGCTCGTCAATACATCAGTATTGTGCCTACGTACTCTCAACAGGTATGAGAAATCAGAGCTTACGTAGTTCGGGACACTACGACTTATTTCCTGTCTTTTACAGAAGAAGTGTTTTTTATTGTGTTTGCAATTTCAATCGCACTAGAGACTATGACCTGAGAGTGAATGCGTCGCATGTCACCCAAAGGGTGCCATACTAAACACCCAGACTGTTGAAAAGAAACTCTCCCACAATCCTTTCTCAGATAGCTTAAGGCTCGTAACGTACGAAAGAAATCATTCATGATTACTGTATCTTAAGTTGTTTTGAGATGAGAAGAGAACAGGCCCAACTAGGAGGGAGACTATCAAGTCCTACTGTTGTCATGCCAAGGATTCATCCTATGGTTGAGGTTTGAAACAGCGAACTCCTAGAAGTTGTCATGCATAGGTTTCAACCTAAAGTTCTATCATCAATTCCTTATCAAAGGAAATGAGAGTCTTAAGGGATCATGTCAATGATACACAGAAACAGATAAAGCATCAGCTCAGACTGTAAAATGCATGCAATGCAAGTGAGGGAGGAAATGTGTGTGGGGCATCAGCCTCCACAAGCTCATCTCAACCTCAAGCCAGAATGAATAACAGTAATCATACTTAAATAAAACATGCTATCAAGCAAGAACAGTAAACTGCAATCATACAGAAGAAATGAAACAAGATGCCATCAGGCAAACAAACCACATGGGCAAGGGAGCAGGGCTCTACCGAATACCCGCAAGCAAAGCCATACAGTAACGGTACAAGCAGAGGGAGCAACTCAACCTCTAGTGCAATCATGCTCCTAGATTCTACTTAGTCTATATATGAACTTATTTTAATGCATCAAGCAAGTCAAACAAAACACATCAATACAAAAAAGAAACAGCAAAGAAAGCAGCTCAACTCCTCTCTCCAAGCTTCAGCTCTTCTAACAGCAACTCAGTCTTCAGACTTCAACAACTCTTGACAAATATCAATCTGCTTCTCCAGGTTTCAACCCTTCACCATAAGTTTCAACTTATCCTCCCTTCCTTAAGCTTCAGCTTCTTAATCAGTTCCACCTTCAGGCTTCACTATTAACCACAAGTATCAACTTGATTCCTTCAGGATCTCCAAGCATCAAAGTAAGTATCAACTTCCTTTGTTCTTCAAGCTTCAGCTCTACACTCAATCTCAATTGAATTCTCTTCCTAAGTATCAACTTAGTCTTCAAGCTCTCTTTGCTTTACCAGTCTCAACTTGGTCTTCTCTCCCTGCAAGCTTCAGCTTCTCAGGGTAATCTTCAGTCACTTAGAAGTATCAACTTCATCCTTCAATCTTTAAGCATCATCTCTTCATTCAGTCTTTACTGGATCTTCATTGGGTCTTCAAGTATCAACTTGCTCTTATTGCTCTTCAAGCTTCAGCTGGAATGGCAATGCTCAAGGACTCATCCTCTTCCACATTCTTCAATGAAGTCTTCATCTTCACACTCAAGCTCAGCATCTCTCAAGATATTCAAACCAGAGGAAATCACTTAACTGGATAAGCTGAGATATTAAACTGCTTATTTACCACCAAAGGTGACCTATAAGGGTTCAACATCAAAAGATGGGTTCCCTCAAAGGTTCTACTTCCTAGGTACCATCACTTATCCCTCCAAAGGAGGGAGGTGAATACCATGGAAGGACCTTGAATCATGGGGAGGAATGGAGGTGAA